GCTCGTAGCTGTATTTGGGGTGCTACCCCGAAAAACGTGTAGCCTTTGTGTTAAAATTGTGTAAAATGACAGAAGCATGTATAAAAAGAAAATTTATTATATATCGTAAAAATATAGAGAAAAAATTAAAGAAAAAAAATGACTATATTGAACGTCATCGACAATGTCAAATAGGGGGTGGTGCCTTTACGCGAGCCGCCCCTGACTGGGCCTAGGCCCAGATTACCCTACCGGTGCAGCTAGTATCGGATTGCTATCGGGTAGGAATTTCCGGCGATATCAACGGAAGTTATAAGGGCTGGTGCTTGCGGTATTTTAATTATATATAATCGCGATCAATTATATCTTTAAAAGCGTCGCGCAACGTTACGCGATAATGCGTGTCGTTCATCACACGTTCCTTCAGCTTCTCCACGTCGTTAACTTCCGTCCCTTCCTCGCGATTCGCGGTTACGATGTGAAGCGTAATTACAGCAATAGCACCGGCGAAAAAGCCGAATTTCGTCAAATGATCCCGCAACACGTCCAACGGAAACAGAGCTGTCGGATCGGAGCCAAGTCCCCTGAGATATTCGGCCAGGGAATCGTAATAATCGCGAATCAGACGATCGTAGTACTCGTCACGTAACTCCTGATTGGTGGAGCTGTAAATCAGGTAGTGAATGTCAAGGGCTGGCGAGGCGAAGCGGTAAAATTGAAAGTCTATTAAACACACGTCCTCGGGTTCCGGCGAATCCTGAAAAATGAAAGAGATTGGTTTTGGGAATTTTTGAAAAAATATATCTTTTTTTTTGCTTTACCTTCTTGTACTTGAATAATATATTGTTGGACCAGCTATCACCGTGGGATATCACGGAATACGGTTCCGCTTCCTTTGGCATACAGGCTCTTTCTGAGTCGGTCCAGACGGTTTCGTAAAACTTATTGAATCTCTTCACGTACTTTGGATCTTCGTCCGATAGTACCTGTGTCGCGGGGAATTAGTTTTTGTGCGGAAAAAATTTTTCGAGAACATTTTTTTTTTCACTCACCGTTCTAACGCTGTCTGCTACCAGCTCATATCGATATTGAAATATCTCGTTGGATAGGTTATTCTTGTTGAAAAGATTCTCGCGAACTTTTCCGAAAATTTCGAGAGTTTCCGGTCGCTGGTCCCGGAGGGCGAAGCTGAGCGCGTGCAAACGTCCAAGATGGCGGAGGGCTTTCGACGCGTGACAATAATCGAACTGATCGAGACGATCCCTGAGCGTAAATCCACGTTGGGCAAGATCCTCGAGAATGACAATCTGTGTAAAATGATAAAGATCATTAAGAGGAAAAAAAAAAGTATTTTTAAACAAAAATCTCTAGTCACTCCAATCGCAGGCGGATTATCGGTGAAGAAAAAATTGGAAAAAAGTATTAATTCCCAAATACCCCAAAAATTCTACTATTTTTTCAAGGAAATTCAAAATCTTATGCGACCCAGCGCTATCTTACCTCTTCGCACTCCCGGAGACTCGTACGATAACACTTCGGCACGAAGTCCAAAGATTTCTTGTACCTCTTAAGAATTTCCTCGAAGAGCGGAACTATCTTCGTGTAAAAGGCTACTTCGTTCTCGAACATTATTGCCACCAGGGTGTAAAGTCGCTGAATTTCAGTCCTGGGCGCCACTTTGAAGATGAACCAGCGTTTATCGTTATCCCGGTCATTTTGCCACAAACAGACGCGATATACGACGCCAATAAAATTTTCCCCTTTTCCACTGGCCGATAATACGCGATACCTTGGCTCCTCTATTCCCAGCGAGCTCGCCAGTGCGAGCAGATGCTCCTTCAGGAATTCCTCCTCGAAGATGTCGCTCCGGTCACTCGGTGACATTTTCACTTATTATTTCACAGACTCTCAGCCTCGGTTCGCGCTTCACGATATATCTTGTTCGCCACTACTAGCCGTACTGTCTAATCATTTACTAGCGGCTGTGCTTGACTTCTGTACCGTCGTCACGGAAATTACGATCCCCGTCGTGCGATTTACTTAATCCGATAAGGCGCGACTTTGAGAACGCACAAAATGTCTTATTTTAGTCTCTTTGCTGGTATTGCAAATAATCTCGGATACCGATAAGGACTTTCTGTTATCTCTGGCAATTACGTATATCGCGTTCAATGACTTGTCTTTACGTACTCTAATCTCGACCTATCGCGGATCAGAGATCTTACTGCTAACTATACCCAGCATAGGTAAATAGTAAATACGAGATATTTCGTCAGCGGCCACTGACGGTGAAATGCGAAAACCGAGATATCTCGTCGTTCTTTTGTAATGTGTTGATAATGCGGGATTTAAATAAAATATACGCGTTATCTTATAACTCCGTATGTGCGACAGGGAAATTTTTACGAAATACGGCTACGATACCGGAATTCGTATGGTCGTCCATGTATTTTAAATGAATCGCTCGGCTAGTGAGATAAACGAAAAGCGAGATATAGTATTTGCGAAACTTTGTCCACGTCCCACATATGGAATGATAAGGAACAATAAGATAAGGCGTATGGTGACTTTTGAATTTCTCGCTGACAACCGTTCATAATACGTTGATCCATGCGGGCGATTAGGGAATGATCATTTTTCTTTCGCATATCAACTTTTTTTTTTCTCCAAGAGTTTGTTATCGGGAATTTTTTTTTGTCAACTATGATTCAGCATTTGGACAATCTATGTGGTTGGAAGTCGCGTGGGGATAAGGATTGGGATAATAATAATGATCCTTCGAACGTTATCGATCGATTTAATTTAATTTAAGACAGATAATACACTTTAGTGATAATTGCAAAGAAAATATATTTTTTTTATATATTTGTCAAATTCATAATGATCGTGTGTAACCGTAGTCCACGCTGTCCTTTATCGTATCCACTAACATGGTTCTGTATACGTTATCGGTTTTTAATCGATCTACTAGATCTTCCCTTTCGAAATATAGATCGGTGGGTTCAAGCGTTGCGTTAACTTTGGTGAATAGCTGTATGGTCGTGATTGCCATTCCGGTTCCAAAGCAACCAAATTTCTTTGGTTGATCCTCAAAAGCGCTTATCGGATAAAGTGTTTCCGGATCGCAATCCATTTTTCATAAGGTGTCCGAGAGAGATTCGTAATAATCTTGATGCAATCGATCGTAGTATCGATCTCTAGTTTCTTTGCTATACAGCGACAAAATATCATGTATGTCAGGTCGGTGATTGGCGCGGCGCATCGACACAGTTGAAAGTCCACGAAGTACATGTGGGTGGGTTTTGTTTTATTCTGAAAAACAAATTTTTTTAGTTAAAATTAGAAATTTTTTTTATTGAAAATTAGTATTTTTCACAGTCTACCTCGTCCTTGTATTTGAACAAAGAATTCGACGTCACAATAATCGAACTGATCGAGACGATCCCTGAGCGTAAATCCACGTTGGGCAAGATCCTCGAGAATGACAATCTGTGTAAAATGATAAAGATCATTAAGAGGAAAAAAAAAAGTATTTTTAAACAAAAATCTCTAGTCACTCCAATCGCAGGCGGATTATCGGTGAAGAAAAAATTGGAAAAAAGTATTAATTCCCAAATACCCCAAAAATTGTACTATTTTTTCAAGGAAATTCAAAATCTTATGCGACCCAGCGCTATCTTACCTCTTCGCACTCCCGGAGACTCGTACGATAACACTTCGGCACGAAGTCCAAAGATTTCTTGTACCTCTTAAGAATTTCCTCGAAGAGCGGAACTATCTTCGTGTAAAAGGCTACTTCGCTCTCGAACATTATTGCCGCCTGGGTGTAAAGTCGCTGAATTTCAGTCCTGGGCGCCACTTTGAAGATGAACCAGCGTTTATCGTTATCCCGGTCATTTTGCCACAAACAGACGCGATATACGACGCCAATAAAATTTTCCCCTTTTCCACTGGCCGATAATACGCGATACCTTGGCTCCTCTATTCCCAGCGAGCTCGCCAGTGCGAGCAGATGCTCCTTCAGGAATTCCTCCTCGAAGATGTCGCTCCGGTCACTCGGTGACATTTTCACTTATTATTTCACAGACTCTCAGCCTCGGTTCGCGCTTCACGATATATCTTGTTCGCCACTACTAGCCGTACTGTCTAATCATTTACTAGCGGCTGTGCTTGACTTCTGTACCGTCGTCACGGAAATTACGATCCCCGTCGTGCGATTTACTTAATCCGATAAGGCGCGACTTTGAGAACGCACAAAATGTCTTATTTTAGTCTCTTTGCTGGTATTGCAAATAATCTCGGATACCGATAAGGACTTTCTGTTATCTCTGGCAATTACGTATATCGCGTTCAATGACTTGTCTTTACGTACTCTAATCTCGACCTATCGCGGATCAGAGATCTTACTGCTAACTATACCCAGCATAGGTAAATAGTAAATACGAGATATTTCGTCAGCGGCCACTGACGGTGAAATGCGAAAACCGAGATATCTCGTCGTTCTTTTGTAATGTGTTGATAATGCGGGATTTAAATAAAATATACGCGTTATCTTATAACTCCGTATGTGCGACAGGGAAATTTTTACGAAATACGGCTACGATACCGGAATTTGTATAGTTTTCCATGTATTTTAAATGAATCGCTCGGGTAGTGAGATAAACGAAAAGCGAGATATAGTATTTGCGAAACTTTGTCCACGTCCCACATATGGAATGATAAGGAACAATAAGATAAGGCGTATGGTGACTTTTGAATTTCTCGCTGACAACCGTTCATAATACGTTGATCCATG